GGGATACCGTGTGTCTACATGTGTGTACTGGCTGGGGGTAACGTGTGTCTACATGCGTGTACTGACTGGTGGTAGCGTGTGTCTACATGCGTGTACTGACTGGGGGTAACGTGTGACTACATGTGTGTACTGGCTGGGGGTAATGTGTGTCTACATGTGTATACTGGCTGGGGGTAACGTGTGTTTACATGTGTGCACTGGCTGGGGGTACCGTGTGTCTACATGTGTGTACTGACTGGGGGTAACGTGTGTCTACATGTGTATACTGGCTCGGGGTAACGTGTGTCTACATGTGTGTACTGGCTGGGGCTACCGTGTGTTTACATGTGTGCACTGGCTGGGGGTACCGTGTGTCTACATGTGTGTACTGGCTGGAGGTAACGTGTGTCTACATGGGTGTACTGGCTCGGGGTAACGTGTGACTACATATGTGTACTGGCTCGGGGTAGCGTGTGACTACATGTGTGTACTGGCTTGGGGTAGCGTGTGTCTACATGTGTGTACTGACTGGGGGTAACGTGTGTCTACATGCGTGCACTGGCTTGGGGTAACGTGTGACTACATGCGTGTAGTGGCTGGGGGTACCGTGTGTTTACATGTGTGTACTGGCTGGAGGTAACGTGTGTCTACGTGTGTGCACTGGCTGGGGGTAACGTGTGACTACATGCGTGTACTGGCTGGGGGTACCGTGTGTGTACATGTGTGTACTGGCTGGGGGTAACGTGTGTCTACATGTGTGTACTGGCTCGGGGTAGCGTGTGACTACATGTGTGTACTGGCTGGAGGTAACGTGTGTCTACGTGTGTGCACTGGCTGGGGGTAACGTGTGTCTACATGTGTGTACTGGCTCGGGGTAGCGTGTGACTACATGTGTGCACTGGCTGGGGGTAACGTGTGACTACATGTGTGTACTGGCTGGGGGTAGCGTGTGTCTACATGTGTGTACTAACTGGGGGTAACGTTTGTCTATATGTGTGTACTGGCTGGGGGTAGCGTGTGACTACATGTGAATACTGGCTTGGGGTAGCGTGTGACTACATGTGTGTACTGGCTGGGGGTACCGTGTGTTACATGTGTGCACTGGCTCGGGGTAACGTGTGACTACATGTGTGTTCTGGCTGGGGGTAGCGTGTGACTACATGTGTGTACTGGCTGGGGGTACCGTGTGTTTACATGTGTGCACTGGCTCGGGGTACTGTGCATCTGAACAAGAATAATACCATGTGTGCGCAGGTCGGGGTCCGTATGAAGCTTTCGATATCATCCATGAAGATCCGAAGCTGTTAAGCGCATTTTAGCTTTGGGCATTATGTATCTACGTGTAACACCGAGTAATAAAAACTACTAGTTTATGGAAACTTGTTTAATCGCTCAAGGCTGCCACAGTTTGACTACGTATACAACAGCTACTATTGGTATTGAATTGAACGACGGCGGTGTTTAGGAATACTTCTCCCCCGAGCGTCAGCAGACATTGGTCAGCGTCTGGCAGGATGCTGTCTCGTGGGCGATATTAAACCATTCTTGATATTGCGACAGTCTTTAACGCGGCAGAGAGCCACTTTCAAAGACAACAAATAGCGAAGTACATTGATGAATATTATATATTTATTCCCTGCCGATCTCACACATGCAAATGTTCTTTTAGACTAGGGATACACATGCTGGACATGAAATCTAACACAATGTATGCAGGTTCCGTTATCAATACTCATTTAGAATCCAAAAGGACCATGAGAGCTGGACCACCAAGACGAGAAAGAAGTTGAATTCCCTTAGAAATATTGGAGTAAGAGCAGGAGGTCTGAACCCAGTCTGTTGTGTGAACATATGGCGAAATTAATGGAGGCAATATAGATCATCCAGTCATTTATTCATTCATTTATTATAAACTCTACAGGCATCACATATACACACATCACATATACAACCTGTACACACATCACATATAAAACATATACACACATCACATATGTAATCTGTACGCACATCACATATATAACATGTACACACATCACATATATAACCTGTACACACATCACATATAAAACATATACACACATCACATATGTAATCTGTACGCACATCACAGATATAATATGTACACACATCACATATATAACCTGTACACACATCACATATAAAACATATACACACATCACATATGTAATCTGTACGCACATCACATATATAACATGTACACACGTCACATATACAACCTGTACACACATCACATATGTAATTTGTACGCACATCACATATATAACATGTACACATATCACATATGTAACCTGTACACACATCACATATTAAACATGTTCACACATCACATATATAACCTGTACACACATCACATATATAGCATGTACACACATCACAAATATAACATGTACACATATCACAGATATAACCTGTACACACATCACATATTAAACATGTTCACACATCACATATATAACCTGTACACACATCTCATATATAACCTGTATACACATCACATATATAACCAGTACACACATCACATATGTAACCTGTACACACATCACATATATAACAAGTACACATATCACATTTATGACCTGTACACACATCACATATAAAACCAGTACACACATCACATATGTAGCATGTACACACATCACATATATAACATGTACACATATCACATATGTAACCTGTACACACATCACATATATATCCTGTACACACATCACACATATAACATGTACACACATCACATATATAACCTGTACACACATCACATATATAACTTGTACACACACACATATATATATAACCTGTACACACATCACATATATAACCTGTACACACATCACATATATAACTTGTACACACACACATATATATATAACCTGTACACACACACACAGACACATCACATATATAACCTGTACACACATCACATATATGACCGGTACACACATCACATATATAGCCAGTACACACATCACATATATAACCTGTACACACATCACATATATGACCTGTACACACATCACATATATAGCCAGTACACACATCACAAATATAACATGTACACATATCACAGATATAACCTGTACACACATCACATATTAAACATGTTCACACATCACATATATAACCTGTACACACATCTCATATATAACCTGTATACACATCACATATATAACCAGTACACACATCACATATGTAACCTGTACACACATCACATATATAACAAGTACACATATCACATTTATGACCTGTACACACATCACATATAAAACCAGTACACACATCACATATGTAGCATGTACACACATCACATATATAACATGTACACATATCACATATGTAACCTGTACACACATCACATATATATCCTGTACACACATCACACATATAACATGTACACACATCACATATATAACCTGTACACACATCACATATATAACTTGTACACACACACATATATATATAACCTGTACACACATCACATATATAACCTGTACACACATCACATATATAACTTGTACACACACACATATATATATAACCTGTACACACACACACAGACACATCACATATATAACCTGTACACACATCACATATATGACCGGTACACACATCACATATATAGCCAGTACACACATCACATATATAACCTGTACACACATCACATATATGACCTGTACACACATCACATATATAGCCAGTACACACATCACATATATAACCGGTACACACATCACATATATAACATGTACACATATCACATATATAACCTGTACACACATCACATATATAACCTGTACACACATCACATATATAACTTGTACACACACACACATATATATAACCTGTACACACACACACAGACACATCACATATATAACCTGTACACACATCACATATATGACCGGTACACACATCACATATATAGCCAGTACACACATCACATATATAACCGGTACACACATCACATGTATAACCTGTACACACATCACATATATAACCTCTATACACAGCACGTATATATCACGTTCACGCATTATTTTTATATGCGCGAATTGCTGCAACATAGGCTATGCGGAGTTAAGCAATAATAACTCACATATTTGAAATGCATAGGCATCACTTATATAACATATGTACGCGACACGTTTTGGCGCCAATATTGGTCAATCACCATATGCATCCTACATGTAGAACCCACACAGAATGGTATGGTGTTTGAAAGTATTCGTTTTCTACAATTGCATTAGTTACTCCAAATTGTTTTATTTACCATGTGTATTGCATACATGCCCTCGACATATACTTCCCTCTGTGACTCCTGCGGAATAATGAATATTTCATGTTTGTGTATGAGTGATACTTTGCTGATATGAGACCAAGTATGAAATATTCATCACACAATTTCTAGGTCTCCCTGTTTCCATGTTACCTATGAGATAAAGGTACTTCTACTGCTGCTGTAAGTCAGCATGTTGATACATGGGAGACTGGCGATCAATTGCTGGCGGCGTGCTGGTGCTTCTTTCCATGCGCCCTCGTGTGATAATTTAAGGGCGTTGAAGATTACTATATTGGGAATATGCTGTTCAACGACAAACACTTTACATTTGTCGACGATTAAAAAGAGCTAATAAATTAGTGTGAAGAAGTACACATCAATAACGGGAGTTAGTTTACAGTTGAGAGTGTGAAATCTCCTCGACCTATCAGCTGCGAGACGGCGTGTACTGATAGAGTAGCGGGCCATTCACATTTCTATTGTTTCACTGGATGGCGTCGTGACAAAAAAGTCGCTATTGAGACTTTAGCCATACTCAAACACAGGACCATTAAACCTCGGAAACAATGCTCTCGTCGTCTTGCCTTTCTAACTGTTGTTTCACTGATGCCGTGTATAATGACAGAATAAGCGGACTCTGAGATTGTTGCGTGTAATGGATGACGAGTTAAGCCAATATTTGTATATGCGTTATAGCAGCAGCGGACACTCTGTGTTACAGTTCTGGCGGCGTCTTTCATCGCCATGTTGAGGTATGCGGACTAAGGCGACTACTGTGAGCAGCTGATGTTGACGACGCCCGGAGCAGGCACTTTACCCCCACCTTTACACCCAGCACATCACGCTACTTCAGGTACGTTCTCTATTATCACAGTACGTTGGAACACAGCTACCATGTACACACCTTTGTGTAGCGCCATCACAAGCATTTGACACAACCTAAACAAATTGTTGTACATGTTTATTAAGGTACGATGTTATAAATACATGACGAAATATTCAGCACTAATAAAGACGTTGATGATGGGATCCACGCTCGAGCACTACTTGCATATGACGTATCAACTTCTTTAAACAAGGCAATTCTCGAACATATCACGTCACAACATTTTTGAACTTGACACCTCAACTAACATATGGCGTTTACGTCTTTTAGCATAACACATAAACTTACATTTGGCTTTTACAACATTTTTAAACATGACACCTCTACTTACATATGGCGTTTACAACATTTTTAGACATGACACCTCAACTTACATATGACGTTTACAACATTTTTAAACATGACACCTCTACTTACATATGGCGTTTACAACATTTTTAAACATGACACCTCCACTAACATATGGCGTTTACAACATTTTTAAACATGACACCTCTACATACATATGACGTTTACAACATTTTTAAACATGACAACTCTACTTACATATGGCGTTTACAACATTTTTAAACATGACACCTCAACATACATATGGCGTTTACAACATTTTTAAACATGACACCTCTACTTACATATGGCGTGTACAACATTTTTAAACATGACACCTTTACTTACATATGACGTTTACAACATTTTTAAACATGACACCTCTACTTACATATGGCGTTTACAACATTTTTAAACATGACACCTCAACATACATATGGCGTTTAGAACGTTTTTAAACATGACACCTCTACTTACATATGGCGTTTACAACATTTTTAAACATGACACCTCAACATACATATGGCGTTTACAACATTTTTAAACATGACACCTCTACTAACATTTGGCGTTTACAACATTTTAAAACATGACACCTCATCTGGCATTTGGCGTTTACAACATTTTTAAACATGACACCTCTACTTACATATGGCGTTTACAACATTTTTAAACGTGACACCTCTACTTACATATGGCGTTTACAACATTTTTAAACGTGACACCTCTACTTACATATGGCGTTTACAACATTTTTAAACATGACACCTCTACTTACATATGGCGTTTACAACATTTTTAAACATAACACCTCTACTTACATATGACGTTTACAACATTTTTAAACATGACACCTCTACTAACATATGGCGTTTACAACATTGTTATGCATGAGACCTCAACTTACATATGACGTTTACAACATTTTTAAACATGACACCTCTACTTACATATGGCGTTTACAACATTTTAAGACATGACACCTCAACTTACATATGGCGTTCACAACATTTTAAAACATGATACCTCTACTTACATATGGCGTTTACAACATTTTCAAGCATGACATCTCAACTTACATATGGCGTTTACAACATCTTTCAATATGACACCTGAGCTTGCATATGACGTTAACTACATTTTTAAACATGACACCTCTACTTACATTTGGCGTTTACAACATTTTTAAACATGACACCTCTACTTACATATGGCGTTTACAACACTTTTAAACATGACACCTCAACTTACATTTGGCGTTTACAACATTTTTAAACGTGACACCTCTACTAACATATGGCGTTTACAACATTTTAAAGCATGACACCTCAAATTACATATGGCGTTTACAACATCTTTCAATATGACACATGAGCTTGCATATGACGTTTGCGACATTCTTCAATATGACACCTTATCTCGCATAAGACGTTTACAATATTTTTAAACATGACACCTCTACTAACAGTTGGGGTTTATAAACATTTTAAAACATGACACCTCTACTTACATATGGCGTTTACAACATTTTTAAACATGACACCTCTACTTACATATGGCGTTTACAACATCTTTTAACTTGACACCTCAACTAACATATGGCGTTTACAACATCTTTAAGCATGACACCTCTACTTACATAGGACGTTTACAACATTTTTAAACATGACACCTCTACTTACATATTGCGTTTACAACATTTTTAAACATGACACCTCTACTTACATATGGCGTTTACAACATTTTAAAACATGACACCTCTACTTGCATATGGCGTTTACAACATTTCTAAACAAGACACCTTAACTTACATATGGCGTTTACATCTTTCAATATGACACCTGAACTTGCATATGACGTTGACAACATTTTTCAATATGGCACCTCTACTTAGATATGACGTTTATAACATTTTTCATTATGACACCTGAGCTTGCATATGACGTTTGCGACATTCTTCAATATGACACCTCATCTCGCATATGACGTTTACAACATCATTCAACATGACGCTTCAACTTACATATGGCGTTTACAACATCTTTAAGTATGACACCTCTACTTGCATGTGGCGTTTAAAACATTTCTAAACAAGACACCTTAACTAATATATGGGGTTTACATCTTTAAGCATGGCACATCTACTTGGATATGGCGTTTACAACATCTTTTAACTTGACACCTCAACTAACATATGGCGTTTACAACATCTTTAAGCATGATACCTCTACTTGCATATGACGTTTACAACATCTTTCAATATGACACCTGAACCTTCATATGACGTTTACAATATCTTTCAATATGACGTCTGAACTTACATATGACGTTTACAATATCTTTCAATATGGCACCTCTACTTACATATGACGTTTACAACAATTTTCATTATGACACCTGAGCTTGCATATGACGTTTGCGACATTCTTCAATATGACACCTCATCTCGCATATGACGTTTATAACATCTTTTAACTTAACAACTCTACTTACACCTGGTAGTACAGAACTTGTTAAACTACCCTTCTTAAGAATGCAACATTGACAGAGCGATCTGTAATTAATTGCACTTCACTAGTCCATCTGTTGGATAACAAAATATCAGGCCGGTATTGGGCCAATTTTGGATTTCGGGCATGAATAAGTTATCAATCCCATTTGTAAGACTGAATAGGGGATATGGAGTGACAACATGCTTGACTGGACTGCTGATACGTCCGGACCCTGATGGCGAGGGGTCGTGCTCATGCTAGTAACCACTGGTTTGACGTGCCGAGGAATTGCGTTTTAGGAATATAGTTGAATAAAATCATTCACACTGTGGCCACTATTCATTTTATTTTATCTTTCCTGTGGATGAAAAAATGCATACTTATTGATAATTACTAACCACCTTTAATGCGACTACCAGTTTATCAAGAATACTTTTTGATCAAATTAAAAAAAATATCAATGTTTGCAATTTTGTGTGCATCAAATATACTAATATAACCACTTACTTCTATGTCAGCTAATTAAAAAAACAACAACATAATGCTTCATATCTCATATAGTACAGGACGGTGTGAGAGAATATCTAACACAATATTTCATATTTCATAGTTGTGGTCGGTGTGAGAGTATGTCTAACACAATATTCTATATCTCACAATAATGGGCGGTTTGAGAGTATGTCTAACACAATATTCAGTATGTCTAACACAATATTCTATATCTCACAGTAATGGGCGGTGTGAGAGTATGTCTAACACCATACTTCTTATCTCACAGTAGTGGGCGGTGTGAGAGTATGTCTAACAAAATATTCTATATCTCACAGTAGTGGTCGGTGTGAGAGTATGTCTAACACAATATTCCATATCTCACAGTAATGGGCGGTGTGAGAATATGTCTAACACAATATTCTGTATCTCACAGTAGTGGGCGGTGTGAGAGTATGTCTAACACAATACTTAATATCTCACAGTAGTGGGCGGTGTGAGAGTATGTCTAACACAATACTTAATATCTCACAGTAGTGGGCGGTGTGAGAATATGTCTAACACAATACTTAATATCTCACAGTAATGGGCGGTGTGAGAGTATGTCTAACACAATACTTAATATCTCACAGTAGTGGGCGGTGTGAGAGTATGTCTAACACAATACTTAATATCTCACAGTAATGGGCGGTGTGAGAGAATGTCTAGCACAATACTTCATATCTCACAGTAATGGGCGGTGTGAGAGTATGTCTAACACCATACTTCATATCTCACAGTAGTGGGCGGTGTGAGAGTATGTCTAACACAATACTTAATATCTCACAGTAGTGGGCGGTGTGAGAGTATGTCTGACACAGTATTTCATATCCCATAGTCCAAGATTAAGATATGTTAAACAGGAAAATCACACATTTCAAATATTAAAGGGATATTTTACGTCGTCTTAAATTGGTGCACCAAAGGTTACAGTTCATCTACTATACACAAGCTTTCGAAATAGTTCCCGTGAAAGTGACACGTAAATATTTTATAGAGATAGTCAAAGCTGTAGTGAATTATTTACATGCTCACATCCGGTTTCTTAGCGGTTTGGCATTCCAGGTTGTTGTCGAGCTTTCTAAGGTTACGTGCGGTGTGCCTTGCGGGCTTCGCTCCAGAGACACTGTGTACAGGTTGAGAAAAGAGCTCTTCCGCTAGCAGTGCACCATCTCACTGAAACAATGGCCAACACGGTTGCCTCAAAGCGGATATTAGTGGGATCTTTGCTCTGTCGAATGTGTGCGAATTGAACCGAGCCGCGAGGTAATCGATACTGTAGCAGGAAAAAAATGCATATCTTCTTTTTTTTGTAGTTATTGATCGAGATCAGATTTTCTTTATAAATCATCGTTACAATGTCGCAATCTATCCCCACGAAGCTTTCAGTTGTTTGGTCCATGTTCAACTCCTTCTATTGCTGAATATATTTTTTTCCTGGTGTTATTTGGTTAAAGATCAGCAATTACTGTTTTTACACTTGGCGTTGTTGCTGGATGTGTTGTGTGAAAGGTTGGAAGTACCAATACGAAAATAACACCTTTCATTCAAGAGATATACATGTAGGTGTGCAGTGCTCTTACCCACTCACTACAGGAGACGTAGCACCTGGAACCTGAGAGCACGTGGAACTCATTAAGGTGTCGCACGGTTAAAAACAAAGTTATTACATAAAAGTTGCTGCTGTTGTTGTTGTACTCATGGGTTTGATATTCCACGAGAAACATCGTCTATATTCGCCTGAGAAGTTTTCAAATTGTTCATCCTTGGTGACTGAAAAAAATGTTATTACATGTTCCGGTTAGTAATGAAAACTACATTAGAAAAACCTAAACTGATAATATCCATGAATTTGCACAGATCACAACTAAATCAGTCCAACAGCCACACTATACCTTTAAGTAAGCATTTGAAACGAATAATAGTGTCCACAATGTAGATACAAAATGTTGACAATGAAAGCTTTTAAAAATACCTGTTTTCGCAGAAGTGAAGGATATCCGCTGATCTGCGTCAAGATTATTCTCTTTTTCTAAGATAGGTATTTCTAAAATATTTAGTTACTTTATTATACCCCCGTTTACGAAGTAAATCGGGGGTATATAGCGTTCCGTCGGTCCGTCCGTCCGTCCTTCCGTCCGAACTTTTGTACGGCCCATAACTTTTTAACCATGCACCCTAGCTTCACCAAACTTGCTACACACATTTACTACAATGAGTACTTGTGCCTCTTGCTAGTTTGAAGATTCTGAATTTTTTTATTTTTGCCGTTTCCATGGAAACATTAAGAAACTTAAACTTTTAGGGTAGGTGTTTTGTACGGCCTATAACTTTTTAACCATGCACACTAGCTTCACCAAACTTTCTACACACATTTACCACAATGAGTACTTGTGCATTTTGCTAGTTTGAAGATTCTGAACTTTTTAATTTTTGCCGTTTCCATGGACACATTAAGAAACTTAAACTTTTTAGGGTGGGTGCTTGTACGGCCTATATCTTTTTAACTATGCACCCTAGCTTCACCAAACTTTCTACACACATTAACCACAATGAGTACTTGTGCCTTTTGCTAGTTTGAAGATTCTTAATTTTTTTATTTTTGCCGTTTCCATAGAATCATGGTGAAACATAGATTTTGGCTAGAGTTTTTGTACGATCCATGTTTATAATATTATGTATCCTAGCTTCAGCAAACTTGCTACAATAACTTCTATGATTGGTTTTTTTCTTTTATAAGATTCTGAAAGTTTTCTCTTTTGCTGTTTTCATGGAAACATGATCGAATTTAGAAATTTTGATGACTGGTTTTGTATAGCTAATATATTTTCCAAAATTGTTTCCACTCATGTAGATCATCATAAGTATCTGTGCTTTGTGTTAGTTTGAATTTATGAATCTTAACCATATCTGTTAAGGCTAGATGGAAACAACAGGGTCAATTGTCACTGGAACTCAATCTTAGTTTTTAAAACATTGAAGTTAAAATCAGTTAGAAATATGTAATATTTCATTAATTAACAAACTATTTACTATTTGTTGTTGACCAGCGGGGATAACGGGGGTATGTGAGCTTTGCTCACTTCTTTCTTGTTTAATCTGATTGTCCGAATTAAAAAAAAAGGTTAAGTGTGCATTGCATGGGGCGCACTTGTTAACTTCCTCTCCATTTTCACATTTTACTATAGATGCATATCGGGAAATCATTCACCGAGATCACAGTTTCACGTTTAAGTATTAGGTATAGTAACCTTTCAAACTATTTATACACACATGAAAAAACTCGTTTATTTATAACAAAACACCATAATATCTATATGATAGTGGGCTATTTTATTCGCATTTACGATTTTCCTCGATATTTTAAACCAGTAAATACACCTTATGCAGCTTAATAACCTCTTAATGCATATTTATAATGATATACATGTTCAACCAAATAATACAACAGTCCATGCAGTTGCTATATTACTCTGTCATGTAGAGTTATGTTGTTTATGCTGCATAATACATTAATACTCTGCTTTAAGCATCTGTCTCAGGGGAACAGATAGACATTACACTTAGAATCTATCGAGGATATGCAGTGTGTGCCTTAGCCGTTCAAGCTGTCAATAGAATACTTAAGGTATCGTGACGTTGATATGCTCCACAGGTTTTGAGTAAATATTTATGACAACACGGCTCTTTACAAGCATTGTATGTATGTTGCAGGTGTTGTGCAGACAGGCAGATGATGTTGCTGCAGCTCCTACCCCTGTGCTCCCTGCTCTGTGCTCTGTCAAGCACCCGAGCCACGTGCAGGTTCCCCGAGTTCCTCCAGAGAGAAGAACCTTGGGCTGCAGACTATGGAGAGGGAACATTTGTTGCGTACGTCAAGGGAACGTACATGCAAATTAACCAGATCAAAGGCGGAAGTGGTAGTGCATATGCTCGAAGATGTATACAAAAAACCTCGAATGGCAAGTATTTGGTGACTCACGAGGAGAAACAAAAAGAGCACCGTTTTGTTTGTATGCAGTTTCTTCGAAGAAGTGCCAATATTGTTCAACTGAAAGTATCTCGTAACTCGAATCGGCGCTCCATTGACTTGTGTCAGGATCGTTTAATGGCCCTGGATCACTGGCCTATCGTGCAGTTAAGCCAAACACCCGATCAGCGCATTACTTGTCCTTTTGTCGGCGGCTACAACGTACAGATGCAATTCCCTAACCACACTATAGTCTGTGCCGATCATCTTCTTTTGTTAAGGATTGAAAGTGAATGTGAAAAGGGGGAAGGAATATTGTTCGATTTCCGGGACGAACAATGTATCCCACCTTCTCTGCCTCGAGATGTGAAACAAAGAGCATACTGCATTGCTCACTGGGAAGAAAATGGCCAAACATTTGTTATTCTCCAACATGCGACTGTTCACAAACAAATGTGGTGTCTCCGTATCAGTGATGCCCTGGGGGATATGAAAGGAGCATATCTTATGCTGGACCTTGTTTGTCATCCTAACGAGTCGGAAGAGGAAACGTTGAACTATTACTACATCAGCATTGAAAAACAAGTTCACTCAAGTATCTGTGCTGATGCCGTAGATGGATGTTCTTTGATCAAGGATTTTTGTGACACAGATTTTCGGCAGCACTGCTCAAAAACATGTCGTGATTGTGAGTATGAAAGTGAAATTGGCTTGTGTACGTTTCCCGAACATATGAGAGGGAAATGGATCGACGCAAAAGGGAGCAGAGAAAATGAAATCAACATCTACGATTATTCTATGAATATAAACGACATAGGAAGATTTCAGTGTTTGGAGATGCAGAGCGATTATTATCGAGATCGACGAGTCCTTCTTGAGTTGTTCGACAACGGGTGCTACCCGCGATACGCCTGTGTAGAACTGGAGAAGATAGCCCTTCCGGTCATGAAGTACCGCTTAGGACGCAGACTCGACTGGCCTCTGATACCAACGCATGATCAGAAGAAACTTATCTGTGATGATGAACGATTTAAGTCAAAGCCTAACAGTCTGTATGACAACAGTTTGAAACCACCAAGGCTACTCATACGCAAAGAAAAGATCCATTATGTAAGCTGCGGGCTCCCACCGTCATTGCAATACGGGCTGTCTTTCAGAGAGGAGGGAGAAGACTGCGGTGGTTGTCTGTACTACAGCCCTGTTCACGAAGATGACAGCATCAAGGTGCAGCCTGTCAACTGTTCCTCCCCTAACCTCTCCATCGATTATAGGTGTGTGGCATCCTTCCAGTTCGGCAATGATACGCATGCAGTTGTCGCCAAAAGTAGAGACACATACCTGTGTTGGGTGTTCACAGACGACAGCAAAATCAAGGTTCTTACAGCTGGCGATTGTTTCTCCTATGAATTAATGGAGACCGCCAAACTTCAAGGTTATTTCACTATCACTGAGGAAAATCTGTGTCAGAATATCATGCGAGTGTTAAAAACAACTACCACCACAACAGAGAAAACAACACAAATAACATCCACTTTAGGTAGAATCGAGTATACTGTGATCGCCCCCGAGGAAGCAGAGATTGAGGTGGAACAGGAACCCATCATTACTCCAAGCTCATCAGTAGGTAATGGTGCCATCCTCAGCACAACACCATTGTCATACCATATGTTATTCTTGCTCATCCCCTGCCTTGTGTTTATATTGAGACACAGGCTGAGCTGAGTGTACCCAGTGGTGTGTGATGACCTTCCGTCATGCACTACCAAGTGCTGAGGTTCCAACTGACCATACGACTATTCATTGATTCAGTCTGCATGTAAGGAAGAGCTAAACATCACATAAACGACTGAATCTATTAACTGAATGCATGTGATAACATTACTCTGATTTGGAAGTCCTAACTACAAAGAACATGACTCCTGACCGCGCTTGACCAGAACCCAAGATAAACAACTACAGAGACATGATGCTGTCTGAACCGGTGATGGTGTGATGTAGCTCCATAGGAGGTCGTTATTACACAGAGTTGCTATTGTATATGTTGAAGAATTGGTGAGATAAGACAGATATGTCACCGGCCATGCAGATTAGGCAGTGTGACTCAAGGACGGTCGGTCTGGTGCATTGGTTAAGGCTGTAGACGTGCCGCAGATGTTGCTGCAGGTGTTGCTGCAGGTGCCTGGACGGGACTTCAGTCTTACAGTTTCTTGAAGTATGGGAGGTTCAATGGTCTCCTAGTTACACCGATGTATAAGTCGATTTATTCAGGGGTCCTCTTTAAGAAAGTATTTTTTTAGACCTTTTCTCTCTGGTTGGCTTCTGACTTCGTAATACTTTGTATACATTTTGCATGTTTGTCTACATGTAATACATTCACTCTAAGCCGTGTACATATCGCTACTGATTATTCCTTCACATCCAGATGCACATGTATAGTTTATAGGTGCAATACTCCATTTCAAGAATTGTTATGATATTGTCTTCTCTAATGTTAAATTGTTTTGATCTTTTCATGCCTCGTAAATCGTGGTATGGGAACGTTAATAAATAAACTTTTCCCCTACTTAATCTCATTATATGCATGTTAACCAAACTCATTGACAATATGTGTGATATTGACAAGCTAACATGGCTCTGAGATCGGCGGTTACACTCCCGTGTTGTTATGTGTGTTTCGTTCTGTGTATGTGTTTGTTTGTACGTATGGTTGTGCGCTCGTGTGCGTGTGTGTGGGTGCGTGTGTATTTGTGTGTGTGATATAGTATGCATTCGTGCATGTGTTAGTATGTGTGTTTGTGCTTGGTCCCATGTTCAGGTAACACAAAACACGTGTGATGAAGGAAGGAGATGACATGTCAATATTGGGTCTTTATTAAAGAAAGTATGTTATGTAATAACAACCGTAGTTGCATATTTTGCTTTGCGCTATGCCAGCATAAGGGTACTGATGTGTACAGACATCCATGGGTTGAGAAGACGACGTTTCCTAATGCTTTAACCGGCAACCTCTTCTGTTGTTGAAGTTCACCTTTATTCCTCGAGATTGGGCTATCTAATGACCAAAGTCTAGGCTATATCTAAGATTGTCTTTGTATTCAATTCCTGATCAAATCATTAGACGTTTACTGTACGAGGTAGTTTTAGGCGATGAACACAACAGCTTTGCACACATCGCCACGCTGATATAATCCAGAACAGTACTATCAGTTAGGTCTTTAAAAATTAAACACAAACATCCATATGTGCAATGTACAGGTGTTTTCAAAAGTAATTCATTACAGTGTACAACACGCTTAGTTATGCCTGAGAAGACTCTGATATTGATTACAGTTCCTATCATGTTGAGTGTTACCTATAACGCTGTGCAATGCATAAACACATATATGCTTCAATTCAAAACCAGAGTTTCATTTTGTATGTTGTGTCTTTTACATATAGTATTATGTGTTTCTCTATCGTAGTCTGACTCTTCTTGAGCTGCGATGTTTCCATGTCTGATGTAACACACCGTTCACTCTTTGTGCTAAGGTCATTATGTGTGTTGTCATGGACATTGATGTGGTAGGAGTTCTTTACATACTCTCCTACTTTCCTTATCTCACCGCTTGCTAGCTGGCTCCATCTCTGAGCCGTGCCATGCCCTGTCACGGGTGGGCTAGTGTCGGCAGTCACGTGTGAGCTAGTGTCGGCAGTCACGTGTGAGCTAGTGTCGGCAGTCACGTGTGAGCTAGTGTCGGCAGTCACGTGTGAGCTAGTGTCGGCAGTCACGTGTGAGCTAGTGTAGGCAGTCACGTGTGGGTTAGTGTCGGCAGTCACGTGTGAAGTAGTGTCGGCAGTCACGTGTGAGCTAGTGTCGGCAGTCACGTGTGGGTTAGTGTCGGCAGTCACGTGTGAGCTAGTGTCGGCAGTCACGTGAGAGCTAGTGTCGGCAGTCACGTGTGGGCTAGTGTCGGCAGTCAAGTGTGGGCTAGTGTCGGCAGTCACGTGTGAGCTAGTGTCGGCAGTCACGTGTGGGCTAGTGTCGGCAGTCACGTGAGAGCTAGTGTCGGCAGTCACGTGTGGGCTAGTGTCGGCAGTCAAGTGTAGGCTAGTGTCGGCAGTCACGTGTGAGCTAGTGTCGGCAGTCACGTGTGGGCTAGTGTCGGCAGTCTCGTGTGGGTTAGTGTCGGCAGTCACGTGTGGGCTAGATTAGGCAGTCACGTGTGGGCTTGTATCGGCAGTCACGTGTGGCCTAGTGTCAGCAGTCCGAGCTGTATATAGCAGATGTGGACAGATACAGCTAATGTTATCACTAATATTGACAGTCGCAGCTATTGTTACAGATTATGTTAACATTCACGGGTAATGCCTATGTCGACAGTTACAAGTAACAGTAGTAGTTAATGTTGGCCGTCATAGCTAATGGCATGGCTAAAGTTGACTTATCAGCTTGACTTACTGCTAATGTAAGCCATCACAGCTACTACTGCCTGTTGTATCATTGACGTCTTTTCCACTACATCTGCTCACAGGGTGAGTGAGTGAGTATGGTTTTACGCCGCTTTTAGCAATATTCCAGCAATATAACGGCGGGGAACACCAGAAATGGGCTTCACACATTGTACCCATTTGGGGATTCTAACCCGGGTCTTCGCCCCGACGAGCGAACGCTTTAACCACTTGGCTACCCCACCTCCCTTCGGCAAAGGGAAATGAAGATACTTAAAAATATGGCTCACCTTATGTCGTCATTGGGACAAACATCTACTTTGAAATCTGTCTAACCAGTCTAACTGCCATCATTTCTACTATGTCATGTGATGGGTCCATCTTGTCTACAATATGCAAAGATACAGCCGGTGGCTGACACAGATGGTGTTATAGCTTATATTGGCTGATACAGCCGATGCTATAGCTTATATTGGCTGATACAGCCGATGCTATAGCTTATATTGGCTGATACAGCCGATGCTATAGCTTATATTGGCTGATACAGCCGATGCTATAGCTTATATTGGCTGATACAGCCGGTGCTATAGCTTTATATTGGCTGATACAACAGTTGTTTTAGCTTATATTGGCTGATACAGCCGGTGTTATAGCTTATACTGGCTGATACAACAGGTGCTATAGCTTATACTGGCTGATACAACAGTTGTTATAGCTTATACTGGCTGATACAACAGGTGTTATAGCTTATACTGGCTGATACAACAGGTGTTATAGCTTTATATTGGCTGATACGGTCGGTGCTATAGCTTATATTGGCTGATACAGCCGGTGCTATAGCTTATACTGGCTGATACAACAGTTGTTATAGCGTATACTGGCTGATACAACAGGTGTTATAGCTTATACTGGCTGATACAACAGGTGCTATAGCTTATACTGGCTGATACAGCCGGTGTTATAGCTTATACTGGCTGATACAACAGGTGTTATAGCTTATACTGGCTGATACAACAGGTGTTATAGCTTATACTGGCTGATACAACAGGTGTTATAGCTTATATTGGCTGATACAGCCGGTGCTATAGCTTTATATTGGCTGATACAACCGGTGTTATAGCTTATGCTGGCTGATAAAGTCCGTGCTATAGCTTATATTGGCTGATACAGCCGGTGTTATTGCTTATATTGGCTGATACAGCCGGTGCTATAGCTTATACTGGCTGATACAGCCGGTGTTATAGCTTATACTGGCTGATACAACAGGTGTTATAGCTTATATTGGCTGATACAGCCGGTGCTATAGCTTATACTGACTGATACAGCCGGTGCTATAGCTTTATATTGGCTGATACAGCCGGTGTTATAGCTTATATTGGCTGATACAGCCGGTGTTATAGCTTATATTGGCTGATACAGCCGGTGTTATAGCTTATATTGGCTGATACAGCCGGTGTAATAGCTTTATATTGGCTGATACAACAGTTGTTATAGCTTATGCTGGCTGATAAAGTCCGTGCTATAGCTTATATTGGCTGATACAGCCGGTGTTATAGCTTATATTGGCTGATACAGCCGGTGCTATAGCTTATATTGGCTGATACAGCCGGTGTTATAGCTTATATTGGCTGATACAGCCGGTGTTATAGCTTTATATTGGCTGATACAACAGTTGTTATAGCTTATGCTGGCTGATAAAGTCCGTGCTATAGCTTATATTGGCTGATACAGCCGGTGTTATTGCTTATATTGGCTGATACAGCCGGTGTTATAGCTTTATATTGGCTGATACAACAGTTGTTATAGCTTATGCTGGCTGATAAAGTCCGTGCTATAGCTTATATTGGCTGATACAGCCGGTGTTATTGCTTATATTGGCTGATACAGCCGGTGCTATAGCTTTATATTGGCTGATACAACAGTTGTTTTAGCTTATATTGGCTGATACAGCCGGTGTTATAGCTTATATTGGCTGATACAGCCGGTGCTATAGCTTATACTGGCTGATACGGTCGGTGCTATAGCTTATACTGAATGATACAGCCGGTGCTATAGCTTATATTGGCTGATACAGCCGGTGCTATAGCTTATATTGGCTGATACAGCCGGTGTTATAGCTTTATATTGGCTGATACAGCCGGTGTTATAGCTTATATTGGCTGATACGGTCGGTGTTATAGCTTTATATTGGCTGATACAGCCGGTGTTATAGCTTATATTGGCTGATAAAGTCCGTGCTATAGCTTATATTGGCTGATACAGCCGGTGTTATAGCTTATATTGGCTGATACAACCGGTGCTATAGCTTTATATTGGCTGATACAACCGGTGCTATAGCTTATATTGGCTGATACAACCGGTGTTATAGCTTTATATTGGCTGATACAACCGGTGTTATAGCTTATATTGGCTGATACAACCGGTGTTATAGCTTTATATTGGCTGATACAGCCGGTGTTATAGCTTATATTGGCTGATACAACCGGTGTTAAAGCTTTATATTGGCTGATACAACCGGTGTTATAGCTTATATTGGCTGATACAGCCGGTGCTATAGCTTTATATTGGCTGATACAACCGGTGTTATAGCTTATATTGGCTGATACAGCCGGTGCTATAGCTTTATATTGGCTGATACAACCGGTGTAATAGCTTTATATTGGCTGATACAACCGGTGTTATAGCTTATATTGGCTGATACAGCTGGTGTTATAGCTTATATTGGCTGATACAGCCGGTGTTATAGCTTTATATTGGCTGATACAACAGTTGTTATAGCTTATGCTGGCTGATACAGTCCGTGCTATAGCTTATACTGGCTGATACAGCCGGTGTTATAGCTTATATTGGCTCATACAGATTGTGTACAGCTCATGTTGGCCAGAAGAGATTGTGTTAAATACACTGCTGTATGTTACAGTTTTTGTTACAGCTGATATTCCAGAATTGGCTGTTACAGCTTGTGTTATAGCTAATGTTAGCTGTCACATCTTTTGATGAAGCTCATGTTGACTGTTACAGAGTGTATTATAGGTGATGTTGGCTGACACATGTTGTGTTATGGCCAATGTTGGTCGTCACAGTTTGTGTTATGGCTAATATTGGCTGTTACAGTTTGTGTTATAGCTAATGTTGATCGTCACAGTTTGAGTTATGGCTAATGTTGGTCGTCACAGTTTGTGTTATGGCTAATGTTGGCAGTCACAGTTTGTGAAGGCCAATGTTGGTCATCACAGTTTGTGTTATGGCCAATGTTGGCCGTCACAGGTTGTGTTATGGCTAATGTTGGTCGTCACAGTTTGTTTTATGACCAATGTTGGTTGTTACAGTTTGTGTTATGGCCAAATTGGTCGTCAGTTTGTGTTATGGCTAATATTGGCTGTTACAGTTTGTGTTATGGCTAATGTCGGTCGTCACAGTTTGTGTTATGGCCAATGTTGGCCGTCACAGTTTGTGTTATGGCCAATGTTGGCCATCATAGTTTGTGTTATGGCTAATGTTGGTCGTCACAGTTTGTGTTATGGCCAATGTTGGCCGTCACAGTTTGTGTTATGGCTAATGTTGGTCTTTCACAGTTTGGCTGTTACAGTCCCTATCATCAAGTGTCAAGGTTCGTCTAATCAATCCCCTGCGATAAGTGCGTTTGTAATATGTTCCATCATGTTACATAAGACGGTTTCATAAACGTAGATGCAGCCTGTGTCAAACAAGTGATGTTTGCTGGTCTCCCGTCGTGTACCCTCAATACGGCCTCCGTGGGTTCTTATCGACAACTTACCATAAGTCAAGTCCCACGTGTATTTATTGTTGCATGACCCGTACATCAATGGCCTCAACGCCCCCTGATGAATGTCCACCGGACCTCCATAATGCAGGACACCTTCCATGTCCTTCTTTAGGCAAAGTTACCTCACTACAGTTTTGTTCTACATCTTGTGTGTTCCCTGAATGCGTCTCCTACATCTGCCTACACTGTTCCCCAAAAGGGTGGTAGCGCCCCTTCCTCTTGAGTCGCGCCTGATCACTGTGGCCATGTCCCCGCCATCTGCCCTGCATGTTCTCTCGGTGTTGGCGACCAGGTAGATCCTTGCTACTTCTTCAACAGCCGCGCGCTCCACAGACTACATGCCCTTCTCTGACTCTCATGCTCTCCTCAGTTTGTAGTCTGTAGGTCCGTTGTGCCTTTCAGCTGTAATCTCGACTATATCATTAATCCATTATTCTCCTTGTGTTCAATTGTAACATTACACGCGATATTAGAGTTACGAAATAGTTGCGGCCGCTTGGTATGCGTTACAAGAAATAGCCATACCTGGGACCATATAACCATATGCAGATTATGCATTTATTAATTTGATTTACAACATATTTAAGAAGCATACTATTGTTTTACGTGCCACTGCACCATATTTCATATCTACAGCACTCGTTATGTCTTGTTTGTTTCTATAAAGGAGGCATATGTGAGTTGTGTCTATTGATATGCTGTATCTATAAGACTTGTTTTTCAATAAATCTCTTTAAAACTGTTGATCTGTTGGGAATGTGTGATAACGTAATGACAAGATATCATATACTACTCGTGTCCCTGTCACAAACTACCCCTTGATGAGATGCAAACACTTCTCCAGCAACCACTGCTCCCAGCTTAAACAGATGCATACAGTGGCGCACTGACCACAGACCCTATCTTCTATACGGTTATACATCAGGCAATGTCCTCAGTATAGATCTATGCATACAGTGGCGCACTGACCACTGACCCTATCTTCTATACGGTTATTCATCAGGCAATGTCCTCAGTATAGATCTATGCATACAGTGGCGCACTGACAACTGTCCCTATCTTCTATACGGTTATACGTCAGGCAATGTCCTCAGTATAGACCTATGCATACAGTGGCGCACTGACCACTGACCCTATCTTCTATACGGTTATACATCAGGCAATGTCCTCAGTATAGATCTATGCATACAGTGGCGCACTGACAACTGTCCCTATCTTCTATACGGTTATACGTCAGGCAATGTCCTCAGTATAGACCTATGCATACAGTGGCACACTGACAACTGACCCTATCGCCTATACGGTTATACATCAGGCAATGTCCTCAGTATAGATCTATGCATACAGTGGCGCACTGACCACTGACCCTATCTTCTATACGGTTATACATGAGGCAATGTCCTCAGTATAGATCTATGCATACAGTGGCGCACTGACCACTGACCCTATCTTCAATACGGTTATACGTCAGGCAATGTCCTCAGTATAGATGCGGATATACACCAACAACTGCCCCGGGCTTATATCTATGCATACAGCTATTCACCAAGTACAATACCTAGCTTAGATCTGTGCATACAGTTATATACCAACTACAACAAAAAGCTTAGATCTGTGCATACAGTTATTCACCAACTACTTCCCCTATCTTAAATCTGTGCATACATTTAAACACCCAAACTACTGCCCCTAGCTTAGATCTGTGCATACAGTTAAACACCCAAACTACTGCCCCTAGCTTAGATCTGTGCATACAGTTATACACTAACTACTGCCACTAGCTTAGATCTGTGCATACAGTTATACGCCAACTACTTTCCCTAGCTTAAATCTGTGCGTACAGTTATACACCAATTACTTCCCCAAGGTTAGATCTGTGCGTACCGTTATACACCTCAACTACTTCCTCTAGCTTAGATCTGTGCATACAGTAATACACCAATTACTTCCCCAACCTTAGATCTGTGCATACAGTTATACACCCAAACTACTTCCCCTAGCTTAGATCTCTGCATACAGTTCTACACCAACTACTCCCCCTGTCTTAGATCTCTGCATACCGTTATACACCAACTACTGCCCCTGGCTTAGATCTGTGCATATAGTTATACACCAACAACTGCGCCTGGCTTAGATCTGTGCATACAGTTATACACCTCAACTACTTCCCCTAGCTTAGATCTGTGCATACAATTATACACCAACTACTTCCCCTAGCTTAGATCTCTGCATACAGTTCTACACCAACTACTCCCCCTATCTTAGATCTCTGCATACCGTTATACACCAACTACTGCCCCTGGCTTAGATCTGTGCATACAGTTATACACCAACTACTGCCCCTAGCTTAGATCTGTGCATACAGTTATACACCAACTACTGCCCCTAGCTTAGATCTGTGCATGCAGTTATACGCCTCAACTACTGCCCCTAGCTTAGATCTGTGCATGCAGTTATACACCAACTACTGCCCCTAGCTTAGATCTGTGCATACAGTTATACACCAACTTTTCCCCCTAGCTCAGATCTGTGCATACAGTTATACGCCAACTACTGCCCCTAGCTTAGATCTGTGCATACAGTTATACGCCAACTACTGAGCCTAGCTTAGATCTGTGGATACAGTTAAAAAACCCAACTTCTGCCCCTAGCTTAGATCTGTGCATACAGTTATACACCCCAACTAATGCCCCTAGCTTAGATCTGTGCATATAGTTATACACCAACTTCTTCCCCTAGCTTAGCTCTGTGCATACAGTTATACAGCAACTACTTCCTCTAGCTTAGATCTGTGCATATAGTTATACGCAAACTAATGCCCCTAGCTTAGATCTGTGCATGCAGTTATACACCTCAACTACTGCCCCTAGCTTAGATCTGTGCATACAGATATACACCAACCACTGCCCCTAGCTTAGATATGTGCATACAGTTATACACCAACTACTTCCCTTAGCTTAGATCTGTGCATACAGTAATACACCAACTACTTCCCCTAGCTTAAATCTGTGGATACAGTTAAAAAACCCAACTACTGCCCCTAGATTAGATCTGTGCATACAGTTATACACCCCAACTAATGCCCCTAGCTTAGATCTGTGCATATAGTTATACACCAACTAATGCCCTTAACTGAGACCTTTGCATAAATTTTTATACACCAACTTCTTCCCCTAGCTTAGCTCTGTGCATATAGTTATACAGCAACTACTTCCCCTAGCTTAGATCTGTGCATACAGTTATACGAAAACTACTGCCCCTAGTTTAGATTTGTGCATGCAGTTATACACCAACTACTTCCCCCAGCTTAGATCTGTGCATTCAGTTATACACCCAAACTACTGCCCCTAGCTTAGATCTGTGCATGCAGTTATACACCAATTACTGCCCCTAGCTTAGATCTGTGCATACAGTTATACACCAACTTCTTCCCCTGTCTTAGATCTGTTCATACAGTTATACACCAACTTCTTCCCCTGTCTTAGATCTGTGCATACAGTTATACACCAACTACTTCCCCTGTCTTAGATCTGTGCATACAGTCATACATCAACTACTTCCCCTAACATAGATTTGTGCATACAGTTATACACCAACTACTTCCCCCGTCTTAGATCTATGCGTACAGTTATATGCTTACGACAACGCCTAGCTTAGATCTTTGCATACAGTTATATACCAACTACAACACCTAGCTTAGATGTATGCATACCTTTATATTTCACCCGATATCATCAGTTCTACCCATGTGTGTCGCACCAACACTATTGGATCCTGAGATGGGTTACTGATATGCTAACGTATGATAAAAGATGGATTTGTCCTCTACTAAAGCACTTAGCGATATATGATCTTATGCCGGATAGCCATCACAGAACATGCACTTTACATTAATACTGATGTTTGCCGAAAACTTTAAGCATGGAAATGCATTATAAAATGAAATTTTCATACCAGCAGTGTTGCCACATAACCCAAATCGGTCGAACATGTTGTTGCCAATGTTTTATCAATAATGTGAGCAAGTAAGCAGGCCGTAATGAAGCTGGAAGTGAGATATATGCGAGGTATCTCTGCTAGGGTAGTGAAACATCTTCCGGTGCTGGGTATGAACGCCTCATTTCGAAATTTCTACTGAAACTTTAGATAGAACATATGTTTTTTCATAGAAGGGAATAAAATGGGCAGGTATTCTTAAAACATTAGAAGGCTCAGTCCTAAACTACACCCAGTACCATACAAATACTAGGAGAGTTGCGATAAAGAGAACACAGGGGGTGTTTTTCTAAAACGTGAAATTCAATAATAAAAATGACCTCAAATGAGTTTTGGTTACATTGTTCTAACGGGATTGACAATCATGTTATTTTACAATCACTATCCTAAAACATTACTTTAACACATGTTGATTAAAGGTTTACATTAAATCTTCTTTTTTGTAAACGTTTGAGGCGTAGTTATTAATATCCTCAAGACAGTTAAAAATCATTTACATCAATCATAAGGTCAGTAACGATGAACACCATCTCTCTTGTGGACATCCTGATATATCGTCATGACAATATCATCTTCACAAAGTTTACCCGATTACTGCTTCCTTAGTACTTGCCTGGCCACAGTGGGGCAGACACTCAGCCACTCGGACACTGACGCAGCTCGCAGCGATCGATCATTGAATAACTTTGTTCAACTCATAAAGCATAAGCTTACAGAACCTTTATAAATACCGTTTTCAAATCCCGAAACGAGTCAGGGATATGTGTATTGGTCCCACTGTGCCGTTATTCCATTTGCATGCATGTGATTCGGTTGTTTTTCTATGTTTCAATATGACTTCCCTCGCACCACGGATGGAATATGTTTCGTTATCCTTGTATAATCTCATTCACACCAGTTCCGTGTATGAAACATGCTTTAAAGATGTGTTACCACACGAGAGCTGCACACACACGCGGACTTCAGATACACCAGGATAGATGGTAGACACATGGGAGCTGCACATACTTCAGGATAGATGGTAGACACATATGAGCTGCACATACTTCAGGATAGATGGTAGACACATTGGAGCTGCACATACTTCAGGATAGATAGTAGACACATGGAGCTGCAAATACTTCAGGATAGATGGTAGACACATGGGAGCTGCAAATACTTCAGGATAGACGGTACATACATGGGCGCTACACATACTTCAGGATAGACGGTACATACATGGGAGCTGCACATACTTCAGTTCAGACGGTACACACATGGGAGCTACAAATACTTCAGGATAGATGGTAGACACATGGCAGGTGCAAATACTTCAGGATAGATGGTAGAAACACGGGAGCTCCAAATACTTCAGGATATATGTAGACACATGGCAGGTGCAATTACTTCAGGATAGATGGTAGACACATGGGAGCTGCAAATACTTCAGGATATATGTAGACACATGGCAGGTGCAATTACTTCATGATAGATGGTAGACACATGGGAGTTGCAATTGCTTCAGGAAAGATGTAGACACATGGGAGCTGCAAATATTTCAGGAAAGATGGTAGACACATGGGAGCTATAAAGACTTCAGGATAGATGGTAGACACATGGGAGTTGCAAATGCTTCAGGAAAGATGTAGACACGTGGCAGCTGCAAATATTTCAAGAGAGATGTTAGACTCATGGGAGATCTAAATACTTCAGGATCGATGGTAGACATTTGGGAGCTGCAAATTCTTCAGGGTGGATGATATACACAT